ATTCAATAAATTCAAATAAATCAAATAAAATTCCTAGAAAATCTAAATCAACCTCAATCAATTCTAATTAACTCAAAATCAAAGTTACAATCCTTAAAATTTAAAATAAAGGCCAAAATCTCATTAATCCCTAAAATACCCTTGATTAACTCTTAATTAAACATTAACTCAATAAATACATTAAAATTCATAAAAAATCAAATAAAACTTAATAAAATTCAGAGATTAATCTATTCAATTTAAATAAATTTTGTAATCATTTTCTAATCTAATTTCATTAATAAATCATTCTTCTTTTAATTAAATTCATTAAAAATTCAACAATTCTTTAAAAATTCTAAATATTACAATAAAATCTATTAAAAATTAAACTAATTTTTAATTCATCTAAACTAAATTAATTTGATAATTTGATTGATTAAAATTTATTTTAATCAATCAAATTTGATTATTAATTTAGATTAGATGAATTATGGCCTTTATGCCTAAATCCCGATTCCTTTTGGAAAGCTTTAGGCATTTTGACTTAAGGGGCCTTTAATATACTTAAATAACCAAAAGATTTACTATGTATTGTGCATGACTCCTTTTAGGAAGGCACTAATACATTTAGATTTATTTGGAGATCTTTAAACAAATATAATAACACACTGACCTTATACGACATGCTAGATTCTTTCGGGAGGGCATGTAGTATTACATTCATAAGGTCCCTTTCTCTTTCTCTAATAAAATATTTAGGGACTCTCAAATAAACACTTGTCTTCCATATAAGGTGGGTGTTTGTTTTGAAAGTCTTAGGACTTATAAATTGATAACTTCCTGTACTTAGGGAGTTATCAATCTATAAATTCTTTAAAATTAAATCAAATAACTTTAACTTCTAAAATTGGAATAATTTGAAAATTCAAATACACTTTACTTAAATTCTAATTAAATTCTCACTCGGCCTTTAATAAATCAATCCTAATAATACATGTAATTCAAACAATAATTCATATAGGACATATCCAAGCCACACGACCTCTTTCACACATTTAGATGCTTGCTAGGACAACCAACTTTAGCTTAGGCTAGGCCGGTGGTTTGTTGTAATTTGTTTGCGGGTGTCTTGCCTAGAGGACACCTATGTGTGTTTGCTTACTTTTCTGTACTGCATAGCATGCATATTTACTTTTCTATCAGTGCACCAGAGAGCGGAGTGAATAAAGTGAGAGCTGCATACTTTACTTTCTTGCATTTATATCTGTTCACAACGCACTCATAACATGCATAATTATACATAACTGCTTCTATTTTCCTGTCTTTTATATTACTGCAGAAGTAGAATGTTCCTAGGGATCGATGTACTTGTAAAGAAATATAAAGCTTTATTTTCTTAGAATTGTTGTATATAGATTGAGTCTTTAAAGCGTCTTGAGTCTGTAAAAGAATTAAAGATAACTGCTTATATATATACAAATGAGGCTCCAAAAAGTAATATCCTCCTCCAGGAGGATGTTCCTTTTTGGAATTCTATAGAAGACCCGGAGCCTGAAGACCATAAGCAGTTGTATTTAATTCTATCTTCTCGTAGGCTTAGAACCCAAGTTTGTTGTCGGTGGAGCCTGACCATCTTTACTTTACTGCAAATTCTGGGATGTAACCGATAAATTCTATATTAATAAAATATGCTCTTTTATACATAACTGTTTCATGCATCATTAGCATTCGTATAGATTTTCAATTTTTGTAAGCATATTATCCTGCATTCGGGTTAAACTCTTTAACCCCTTCCTTGATTCTTAGGATAGAGCCATCTCAAATCTTGCATTCATCGGCGAATTATTGTGATTAAGATTGTTAGCTGGCAGCCCACTCTATGCAGGTGGTAAGTCCATAATGTATAAACCCTCTCTCTGCACATTCTTTCTAATCAAACTCTAACTCTTCTAAATTCAACCTAAAGTCTATAATCTAAAGCCTAATCGTGAAAATTTAAATTAGCCCAAATATTTAGTTAAATTTATATATAATTTTGAAATAATTTAGTCTTCATTTAGATCGAGAGTATTCTCTTAGGAGATGTAATTAACTATAGGGACTTGCCCCTATAGGGAGTCTAGATCCCAGAATAATCTAAACCCTATCCTAGTTTCCTTTCTAAGGTAGGGGAAAGATCTGTGAACATAGACATTGTTTTATCTATATTTTAAAATTTATTCCCATAATCAAAAGATAGGTGGATAATCGATCTGCTTTTACAGGCAGGTCGAATATCTTCTATACACATAGGTACACTAAAAGGGGTAAAATCAATCATAAAACTCGCATGGGCCCCGGCGAGCGAGTTATTGGTATACATGTGACGTCTGGGGATGCTGCACAGGTCAATAAAGTTGAACCCGATCATCCTAAACAGGTAGGTAGGAGTCCATAAGGTTCAGCAAATGATTACAAAATACCCCCAAACACCCGCATGGGTCCCGGCAAGCATGTTTTGGATATACACATGACGTATAGGGATGCTGCGCAGGTCGATAAGTGAATTCAAGTTCAAACCCAATCATTCTATACGGATCAATAGGAGTCGACAATGTTCGAACCAACAAACAAATATAAGGTCGCGACGACCGGTATATTTGTTTTACTGTATTCATATTAGACTTTCAAGGCCTATAACAATGAGAATTCACTAACAAATTCATAGAGTTCACGAAACCCTATTTTTCTAAACATGTAAATAGGAGTATACAGGGTTCGAATCATCAGATAAATAGACGATCATGAAGTTGACTGAAATATTTATTTTATGCATTCATATTAGGCCTTCAAGGCTTATAACAATGAAAATTCATTCACAAAGGCATAAAGCCTACGAAACCTGATCCCCTATCGTCAAGTTAATAGGGTTGACAAGATTTAATAAAAAAAAATGACTCCAAACACCTCGAGATGACCGTGTTAAATGAAAATCTCAACCGGAAGAGTATTTTCCAAATAATCTCAAATGTCATCCAAATACTCAAAATCCAAATTTTCAAAATCATTTGAAATCCTAAAAATCTCAAAATTCAGCTATTTAAAAATTGAAATTCAATCATCAAGTGCTTAAAGAAAAATTCATCCACCCTCCGCAACAGTTTGTCGGGGTGGACAAATTCAAAAATAATTTCAGCTCACAAAGAGCTAATGTCTAGTCGAAAATAATAAAATATCACTATGATCCATTCTCAAAAAATCTTCTGCTAGTAATGACGTGGTATGTGTCTTCTAACTGATAATTTTGCCGCTAAATGACATCGCAGGATAAACAGTTATGACCCGAGGCCCTCTGAACCGAGTGGTTTTGTCGCCAAATGGCACCACGAAATACCGGTTATGGCCAGAGTCAAAACGCTCCTTAGTGGCATCAAATCCTTGAGATATGAATCAATAAGATATAATGAATAGGGTACAAAGCCTTATGTTAGCTAAGGTGGATTCAAATTTGTCTCCTTAGACAACATTCACTCCAGGTCTACAAGGTACCCTTGGACGAAGCAACCCATGGCTGCTGATGATGATTCTTCTATCAGGTTGGGTCGACTACCTCCTCTGACTAAGTAGACCAGGGACCACGATGGCTTGGGATGACGGAACCATGGGATCTTGATCGGGTCTATCATCCATTCCCCCACCATCTGCTTTAAGTGCAAGATGGTGAAATTTCTGTTTTAAATATCAACACTTCAAATTTCTAAATACTCATGCTCATGTTCCTATATGCCAGATAACTTGTATTTATACGTATTTGATTGATGACTAACCTTAATCAAAAGTTCTCTCGTGATCGAGAGGGGTATAGGGGTTGCGCCTATAGGAAACCAGAACTCAGATCATAAAGTCCTCGCAAAATGAGGGCAAAATCTCTGGGTAGTGCAGTATCTACAAACTCATCTGTCTTCCCAAAATTTAACCTGGAATTTAATCCGTTAAAACTCCCTCGCAAAAAAAAAAGCAAACAGTGCGGGCAGAGGCTGGGGCCGAATTTTCGGAGCCCACAGATTTCTGATGACTCCGCTTGGGTTTGGTTTCTCTTTCCATCTTTGACAAGTCGTCGAAATGCTATAGTAGCAGCAAAAAAAATAATATTAATGTTGAGCTTTATATGATAAACATCAGGATGTAACACTTGGCCCCTTTCTAAAAAAGTCATCATTGAAAGGTCTCGATATAGGTAAAAGCAACCATCTATTATAATGGTTGAGCAAATAAAGAGTCAAAATATGTATGGTGAGCATCGGGGTGTGACAGTTGGATGCATATCAAAGAATCCACCGCCGAAAGATCCCGACATAAGTAAAAATAAATATAGAGACCCACATCTCTAGAAAAAAATATATTCAAAGAATGGTCTGACATTTAATGTGTGCCCCTAGAGATTTACCATTAAAGAAATTCGTCAAAAGTGAGTCCTAAAGATGGCCCCTACATACAATGTTCTTGATGGTTGACACCTTGAAGAATCTTTCAAGAAATCCCATCACTTTTCAAATATATCCTCTCAAACTGAGGAAGATCCTCGCATCAGTGTCATTCTATCAAAAAACCAAGCGGAGGAAATAAAAGAACTCATCTGTGAATCCAATGATTGCTTTGTCTAGACATATGTTGAGATACCCAGCTTATCCCTTGATGTAGCAATTCACAGATTAGCCATCAAACTAGATGCAACACCCATCAAGCAAGCTAAAAAAAAAATGAGATTGGAGATTGAAGAACAAGTTATTGCAGAAACAAAGAAGCTCATAGATGCAAGCTTCATCCGAGAAGAAAAATATATCGATTGGACGGTCAATATTGTCCATGTTAAAAAGAAGAATGGACAGATTCGTATATGTATCAACTTTCGGGACCTCAACAATGCATGTCTAAAAGACGATTTTTCGCTCGCTATATCCGAACTCTTGGTGGACAACATGTCCAACTACGACATGATCTTCTTCATGGATGGATCGTCAGAATACAATCAAGTTAAGATGGCGCTTGAGGATGAAAAGCACACGTCGTTCAGAATGCCCATCAACATTTTCTGCTATACGGTCATGCCCTTTGGCCTGAAGAATGCCGGTGTCACCTATCAACGGGCAATGACTCGTATCTTTGATGAGCTAATATATCAAAAAGTCTAGTGTTATGTGGACGACCTTGTTGTCAAGAGCATAGATCGGAAAGACCACCTAAGTGATCTGAGAATCGTGTTTGAGAGAATTACAAAATTTGATCTGAAAATGAACCATCTCAAATGTGCTTTTGGGGTCTCCTCTGGCAAATTCTTGGGGTACGTTGTTCGTCATCGAGGTATCGAGATCAACCCCAACAAAATCAAGGCAATTATGGAGATGCCGCCTCCTAAAAACCTTCAACAACTTCGTTATTTGCAAGGACAATTGACTTTCATTCAGTGATTCATATTGAATTTGTCAGGTAGGTTACAGCCATTTTCGAAGCTGATGAAGAAAGATGTTCGTTTCAAGTGGGACGAAGAGTGCCAGGATGCATTTAACAAAATCGAAGGATACTTGTTAAATCCGTCAATTCTCACAACGCCAATCCCGGGGAAGCCTCTTATACTGTATACGACAGCACTAGAAGAGTCCCTCGAAGCATTATTGACCCAACACAATGAAGAAGGAAAAGAAAATGCACTTTATTACATCAGTTGAAGATTGATTGGAATATAAATCTGCTATTCTCCAATTGAGAAGCATTACCTAACTTTGATTTTTGCAGTTCAGAAACTCCGCCACTACATGCTCTCTCACAAAGTTACATTGATATCAAAGATTGATCTGTTGAAGTTCTTGATGACAAGAACAACACTGACAGGTCGTCTAGCAAGGTGGATAATATTATTACTACAATTTGATATCACGTACATGCCACAAAGGCGGTGAAAGGACAAGTCTTGGTAGATTTTCTCGCCGCACATCCTATCCCGACAGACTCTCCACTCAATGATGATTTACCTGATGAGCAAATTATGTAGGTCGAGGAAGATGAAAAGCTACCATTCTGAGAGATGTACTTCGATGAGGCATCGTCGATTAAACCTGCCCGACCTCCAAAAATTGCAAGAGCCCGAGCAGGTATCAGTATTGTTCTCATATCACCTGAAGGAGGCATAATGAGGTTTTCATTCAGTTTGACTGAACCTTGAACAAACAACGAAGCCGAGTATGAAGCTCTAATAGTTGATTGGAGATCGCAATCGACGTCAAAATTCAAAATCTTCAAATCTTCGGCGACTCTCAACTTGTGATAAATCAAGTCTTGAGCGTTTACAAGATTTGTAATGTTGAGTTGGCTCATTACTGGTGGACCCTTGAGCTCCCGAAGCAAGTTCTAAATGTTAAAATAGTTCAAATTTCTCGAGGACAGAACGCCAAAGAAGATTGCTTGACCAAATTGGTTAAGGAAATTGCAAACACCAATGAGGAGAAGCCTATATTCATCAGCATTTACAATCGTCAGATCTTAGAGCCCGCTTTGTTACAATTCCCGAAGGCAGAGGGAATTTCAAATTCAAGTCAGCAGGATGAAACTCCAGTTGACCCTCAACCTCTCTATTAGATCATTATGAAAAATTATCCTGAAGGATATCACGTGGCCAAGAGACGTAAAGCTAGCCAAGCTTCAGAATCATGGTTGCATTGTCTCGATGTTGAGGAAGGAGATGATTGGAGGCAACCCTTCATCGACTATTTTAAAGAAAATAAACTCCTGACATATATAAGTCTCTTGTTACACAAATTTGAAAAAGAGCATTGCGATATGCATTTGTCAATGCACATTGTACAGACGAGTTTTTGATCAAATGTGGCTTAGATGTCTAAGGATCAAGGAAGCGGATAAAGTAGTAGCAGAAGTTCACGAAGGACTTTGTGATGCACACCAGTCAGGTTCGAAAATGGCCGCCAAAATTAAGAGAATATGTTATTATTGGCCGACCATGGTCAGAGAATGTATTGACTACGCAAAGAGTTGTAACGAATGTCAGATCCATGGCGATGTTATACATCAGCCTCTAAATCCATTGCACCCTACAGTAGCGTCTTGACTATTTGAATGATGGGGTACAAATATAATTGGCCTAATAGATCCTCCATCATTAGCGGGACACCGTTTTATTCTGGCAGCGACAGACTACTTTTCAAAATGGGCAGAAGCGGCTCTATTCAGAGATGTCACATCCGAGCATGTGATCAATTTTTTTACCCATAACGTTGTCTATAGATTTGGTGTGCCACGCCGCATAATCTCAGACAACGGCACTACATTCAAAAGTACACAAATTTATAAGTTCGTTGATCGGCATAAAATTGATTGACGGTATTCATCTATATACAACCCGAGAGAAAATGGCCTGAAAGAGGCCTTCAACAAGATATTGGTGAAATTGTTGAAAAAGATCCTCACCAAGAATAAAAGAGAGTGGCATACGAAGAAGGCAGAAGCATTATGGGTATATCGTATAACGTATTAGACACCAACTAAAACCACTCCATATTCATTGGTATTCGGTGTTGAAGCTGTATTATTATTGGAGATTGAACTATCGTCACTCCAGGTAACAATTCAGAATGACCTTATCCAAGAACAAAATGCTCGCTTAAGAATGGAAGAGTTTAACGCACTTGATGAACTCAGGCTACAAGCTCAACAAAATCTAGAGATTTATCGAGAAAAAATGACAAAATCCTTCGATCGTATGGTGCGTCCTCGGGCATTTCAAGAAGAAGAATTGATCCTGGTGCTGAGAAGGCCAATCATCACACACCGAAGAATTGGTGGCAAATTTGTGTCCAATTGGGAGGGCCCCTTTGTTATCGAGAAGTTGTTTCAAGGAGAAGCTTATCAACTTATCGACTTGGAAGGTCAGAGACCTATGCCGCCAATCAACGGCCGATATCTGAAGAAATACTACGCATGAAGTTGTCCAAGAAAATGTTATATTCAATGTGTTATGTATTCTATACATATTTACTATTATATATACATTTTATATTTTAAAATTTTCTTGTATTAAAAGAATGCATTTCAAAATCTTCCCATAAGACTGGAGGCATTTTAAATATTTATTCGGGTCGACATCGCATCGCGTGCTGAGATCCCTGAATAAATATTTAAAATCTCAAAGATATAAAGCCTATTCGTAATGTCTCTATAAGGCGGGGGCATTTTAAATATTTATTTGAAAAGATATCATGCTATGCGACGAGATCTCCAAATAAATATTTAAAATTTTATAATTTTAAATTTATTCTATTCTAGAATGTCCCTACTAGACTAGGGGCATTTTAAATATTTATTTGGGTCGACATTGTGTTGCGTGCTGAGATCCCCGAATAAATATTTAAAATTATCAATTCAAATATTCTTTTATGCTGAAGAATACAACAATCTTTTTTTTCAAAGTATATGCAAGCGATCTTAAAAAATTCAAGACATCAATGTATAAAGATTCAAAAGTCAAGGAAGAGACTTTTGTGGCTACACACTCCTACAAATTAAGTCAGAAAAGGTTGAAGTCTTTTGACAACTTGAAGCTTAAGGTTCGAATGGGTGTAAAAGGTCGGATCCAATAAGCCCAAATATAGCCGGATCGCTGGCAGCTTCGTCTACTCAACAAGCCATAAGAAAGGCCGTAGTAGCGGGACCCCCACTTCGTCAACCCGTCAGTAGAGACTGTAGGAAGCACGAAGACTAATTTGACTTGATAAGTTCAAGTGATCGAAGACTTCAAAATTCTCCTAAATGACTGGAGAATCAAAGTTCCAGTGAAAAGAAGGAATCTCGAGCAACTATCAAATGTGTGTAGACTCCAAATCTTCAACCACAAATGAGAACTCCAAATCTACCAACTTCAGTAAAATCAGCATTGGGGAACGCATTTCCCATAGCTCAAGTATGAAGCTTGAATGAGTGTAAGAGGCTGGATCCAACACGCCCAAATATGGTCGGATCGCTGGCATCTTTGTATACTCAACAAGTCATAAAAAAGGCTGTAGTAGAGGAACCCCCATTTCAGCAACCAGAGGACGAAGAGTTGTCAAATCCCAGCTCTCCTAATCTGATAAACTCAAGTGACTCATATTAAAGTCTTCTCAAATGGTTAAGGATAAAGATACTACCTACATTTGGTACTATCAACCAAATCCAAAACCTACGAATCCTTCAACAAATCCGTAAAGCATAAAGCGAGAATCGAATGAATTCTTCTTCAACAAGTCCGTCAAAGCACAAAACAAAGGATCGAAGAAATTATCCTGAAGTTCACAAAGGCTCAAGGCTGAACTAAAAGGATTCTGTCATCAACAAGTTCGTTATGCACAAAGCTCTGGACCGATTACAGCCAAAACAACCATTCTTTCATGACACCATCATGGTGGAATGAGTTAAGTTTGCCTTGCTTTGATACATTATGGAAAAAGTAGTTTTGTTGGATTTTTTGTATCCATGATTCGGGGTTTCCATCGAAAATTGTGGCATGGAGATGTGCATTATTTTAAAAGGGTTATCACTCATAAGATCCTTGGAAGGTTATATCGTAACTAAGGACTTGGATTGATTGTCCGACTTTGGACAACTAGGCTACTTCTATTCTTGTTTTACTTCAACAAATTAATCGGAGCTGAATGTCGCTCATCATCTTTATGAGTTGTTGGATTTGGTCTTCCATAGTTGGGTTGAGGTCGATAGCTTTTACTTTCGAATGAGTGTTATTAGCCATGGTTGATTATGTCACGACCAGGCCCGGTTAGCTCGTATATACGAGGCGGGAACGAAGTCGGACGATCAAAATGATTTAATCATCATATTTCAAATAAAACATTTTCCAAAAGACTTCAATATGAATATAAAAGCGCCTCTAAACTTTTTCCAAAACATATAGATAACATTCAAACCATTACAAAAAGAAGTTCATGTACAAGGTGGTATAAACTTAATCTATTCATTCATGATAAAACCACCAAAACATTGATAACTAAAAACAACAGTAATAACCTGTCACCCGTTGCGCGACGACTATAAGTAAACCTCGGGTGATCCGCCATCACTTATGAGAGGGTTCTCTTGAAAATTTACCAAAACTAAGGAGTGAACTACGCTCAGTAGAAATTTCTAATCCTAAACATGTTCATATGACTTAAAAATGAAATGTACATTTTTAAACAAAAAGGGACATGCTCTTTTCTTTTCTTTTCTTTTCTTGCTCATGATATCTTGTTTATATCATATGAATGAAAAATAATTTAGGTGCCACATGCATATGTCATTTAGATATGTATGAAATGAATGTCATCTCACTTATTTAACATATTCAACCATCCCGGAGTACCAGGGGTGTACTGATCAGGTACACAAACCTCTTTTGGTCATTTATTCTTTTTTTCTCATTTGCCCCAAGGGCCATAATGTTCCCGTACTGTTCATGTGTGCTTTTGTACCGTCTTTGATACTCCGTAATCAATCATGCACAATCATTTCTATATTATTTTCATATGAACATATATTCCTTCATTTTCATACAAAGTCATATATTTCCATAAATTAATGTATGACATGAATCTTTAATCATGAATTAGATAACTTATAATAATTACACTTAAGCATGAAAGAATCAATGAATTAACTAGATTGCATGTGTATTGCATGGGTAACAACTATTCCATTTCTCAAATCATGTCATAAGAGCTTAACAAAAATGATATAAACATGATAAGGAAAAGAATTCATACCTCCAAAACCTATGAAATCTGTTTCTTCTCCGCTTTCTTTACTCTTCTTCTTGTCACTACCTATAGACAAATAACTCAATTTAAATTTCTTGCCAATTTAAACTTTATGTTTCACAACTTCTTTTATAGGCTTCCCATAATCTTCTTCCACCTATCTTTAAGGTAAAAGAACATCAACCTCATACAAAATTGTGATTTTTGTCCAAATAAATTTCGGATTTAAATAAAATATAAAGTATAGGAACCTAAAAATTCATCCAATTCATCCTAAATCCTTCTAAAACGTTCATCTTTCTTATACTTATAAATGAATCCTTATTATTTTCGGAATTAATCATAAAATAATGAAGAAAATTATTTTTCTTTCTCAAAATTACAATTTCTTATATTTAGAGATCTCTCTAAATCATTTGAAATACCTTTAGTGAACATGCCATACTAGAATCCCTAAGTTTGTGAAAACCCTAAGTTTTCCCTAATTTTTAAACTCAAAATTCTTTAAGAAAATTTTGTATTTTTTATACCAAAATTATTCCCTCAAGTCCTTCTAGCAATCGTCATAGAAATTTCATCAAAAAGAGAAACCCTAAATTTCGGATTTAGTGTTTTGCTTAAAAATTTTGACATGAATGGTAGGAAAACATAGATCAAAGCAAACCCTAAAGATTTCCTAAAGAAATCCCAAAAAAATATCAAACTTAGAATTTTTCTATGCAAAAATCTCATGAAAACTTCCATTTCTTTTAAGAAAAACTTATCTCAAGTCTTCCCCTATGCTTTTCCTAAAGACCCTTGCCGAAATCTCGCCCGCCGAGCTCTCCCGTTGCCACTCCTCCCTTTCTCTCGTGTGCGGCCGAAGGAAACAACAAGGGACCGAAATGTTCGGTCCCTTAGGCGGATGAGGGGGCTTAAGGAGATTTAGGAAGTAAAATTATGCATGTATTCTTCTCCCCCTTACTCGAAAAGATGAGGATATCACTTCCTCATTTCTGACTCTTTCTCCCACGTGGCATTCTTCTCCAATCCATGCTTCCATAGTACCTTCACAAATGGTGTATCTCTACTTCTAAGTTGCTTCACACTGAACTCCAGAATACGATCTGGTTTTTCAACATATGTAAGATCTGGTTGTAAGTCCACATCTTCCGATATGATCTTAGAAGGATCATCCGATATATACTTCCTCAGTGACGAAACATGAAACACATTGTGGAGAGCATATGTAGTAGGTAAAGCTAATCTGTAGGCCACTTTCCCAATCCTTTCCACTATCTCAAAAGGACCAATGTAGCGAGGACTAAGTTTGTCAACCTTGCCAAAACGAAGTACACCCTTCATCAGCCTAATCTTTAAGAAAACAAAGTCTCCCACATTGAATTCCACAAAGCGGTGCTTAGCTTCATAATACTTCTTCTGCCTATCTTGAACTGCTAGCAACCTATCCCTGATTAATTTGATTTTGCTTGTGTCATTATCAACAATATCTGATCCAATTACCTTCCTCTCACTTGTCTCTGCCCAACAAAGTGGTGTTTTGTATTTCCTTCCATAGAGGGCTTCATAAGGCGTCATTCCTATGCTGGCTTGGAAATTGTTGTTGTAAGCAAACTCTATCAAAGGGATATGAGATTCCCAACTTCCACCAAAATCAAGAATGCACAATCTCAATAAGTCTTCAAGAGTTTGAATAGTCATCTCTGTTTGCTCATCAGTCTGAGGATGAAAGGCTGTACTGAATGTCAATCTAGTGCCCATAACCTCTTGTACTTTCCTCCAAAGTTTAGAAGTAAATCTACCATCTCGGTCAGATACTATGGACTTAGGCACGCCATGCAATCGTACAATCTCAGCCACATACAACATTGCGAGCTTCTCAACTGAATCAGTCAATCAGATAGGCAAAAAGTGAGCAGACTTTGTAAGTCTATCAATGACAACCCAAATAGCATCATAACCCTGTCGTGATCGAGGTAACCCTGACACGAAATCCATAACAATATCATCCCACTTCCACTCTGGAATCGGTAAAGGTTGAAGTAATCCACTTGGCCTTTGATGTTCAACCTTTACCAACTGACATGCAGTGCACTTGGCAACAAAATCAGCTACACTCCTCTTCAATCCGGGCCACCAAAATAGACCCTTAAGGTCTTGATACATCTTAGTAGTACCAGGGTGGATAGTATAAGCA